AGGCGTTACTCTAAGCCCTTATCAGACGACCAGGTGAGAGACTCCTCTGTCCAATCTTGCTGCAGTCAGACAGTAAATAAAAAGTAAATGCTGAATATGAAGGTATGTTCCCTCTGCGCAACGTTCCAGCTAATCATGATCCTCAATGAACCAGCTCTGTTGAAGGCAGCGCGCGGCCCTGGGTGGCAGGCTGGGCACGAGTCGGCACGATTCCCCCGCTGCTATAAACAGATGGAGACAGAGGCCGAGCCGTGCTGCCTGGCTCTGCTTGATTATGTCTGTTTTTTGTGCTGTTAGATGCTGATGGTTTAAACACTGTTGATGAACACGTCTGAATAACACTACAGGAGACGGGTTGTGTCAGCGGCCAGTTAACTATTTGTTAATGAATTCACTCAGTAGAGCAGAACATGAGTCACAGAGCAGCAGAGAAAGGAGGAGGTTGATCCACCGCATGTGTTCTCTCTCAGTTTCTGTCTGTCGCTGTCCTCTGACTGGGGTCAACAGGCTGAACCAATCAGCTGTCAGAAACCAACAGCTACTGTAATCTGACCAGTCACAGAGTAGTCGCCGTGGTAAGGGAGTCCGACAGGTATGAAATGCCTCCTGTCGCCCAGTGTTAGCTACCTGACAGGTGATGTCCTGTACCCTCCCATGCTGCAGCTGGAGACAAACCTCTTTGGTTGCTAGGATACAAGAAGATGGGTGCTGCCATGGTTACCAGGTAGGGTGATGGGTGTAGTGTCAGTGATGGCAGGGTTTGATTTACTGTCCTTCATCCATGTTAAATAAATATTTAAACACTCCTTGTTTTTCTTGTCGTCCGAGTCATTCCTTGTCTTTTTCCCATGGGTTTCCCACGTCCCGATTGTCTCCTGTATGTGATTGGCCAGCATTTTGTCTTGATGACGTCACCCTCCGGTGCGGCCAAAGTTCCACCAGATTCAACTTTTTCACCACACTGGCTAGTGTCATTTTGCCGGACCCCCCTGCAGTGCTGGTGCCACAATCTCCCATAACAAAAGAACAGGGAACGGTCAAGGGCTGCTTTTTGTCACACCTTTCAAACTCAGTCTGAATGCAGCCTTACTTTCTTTAAATGTTCTCACAATTTATGACTTTTTTGTAAAATATTTCAGCTATTTTCTTTGTTTTCTAATTGTTTCTCCCAAAATATTCAATGTTATATAACATAATTCAGATGTTTGTTTTTCAAACAAGACAGTTTCTGAACTCCACACATTTATGTTACAGCTTGGAGAAATGTTTTACAATCTTTTCTCCAAAATGTTCTTTTTTGAACATTCTTTCTCTCAAATAATTAAAATTACTTTTTAAACAGGTTTTGACTTTTTTCTTAAAATATTTAAACAATTTGCTCAAAATATTCAGACATTTTCTAAAAACTAGTTCTGACCTTTAAGATCTCCAAACTCAGTCAACATGTTGTTTACATTTGGTCTGGAGAAACGTGTGTTACAGGTTTTTTTGTCAAAATGCACCACATATTTTCCTAAAATATGTTTTATGTTTCACTCAAAATGACTTTTTCCAAATAACTACCGACTTTTTTTCATCAGTCCTACTGCTCAGCCGCCTGAAAGATGACCAGACCCCACAGGTCATCTGTGCTGAGTCACCTGCCCTGGTGCCCCTCAGTCAGCCAATCACAGAGCTTCGTTGTGGCCACATTTGATCAACTCATCAGAAGATAGCTGCAGTTGGTTCTGATGAACTGAGTGATGAGACGTGATGTAGCAGGAATATTTCTGTAAATGTTGCAGAAACAGTGACGCGTTCAAGTGTGGAAGAGTTTGTACAAAAAACAAGACACTGAGAAACAATGAAGAGAAATATGGAGATCGGCAGCAGTGTTTTCATTTCTCAGAGCGGAGGTGGGGTTAGTGTTTATAGCATAACAGCAGGAAAGTATTTGTAGAAACATTGTCACTGCTGTGACTGAAGCTTCATTACCGAGACTCCCACAGGCTGAACGTATGACTGAAGGTTATCAGCTCAACAGGGAGATTCTATGAGTTCACCAGAGCAAAGAGAGGCCCAGAATGTGCAAAATGGCCTCAGACAAACAAGAACAAAGTCAGGCTGCCAGGGCTGACAGGTTACTCACTTGTGCCTGTTTGCATTGAAACAACCTCACACAGTTCAGTCAGACCAGAAACTGCTGCAGCTGCAGTGTAAGAGAAGCAGAGCGTCCGGTGTTTAGTCGGGGCAGAGGAGCTTTCTTCAATGGGGGAAAAGCCCCGAAGACCAGTGGAACTCTGACCTAGACTTATGATCCAGCCTCTTAAACCACAGCGTCAGTGAAAAGAGGAACGCCTGCACACTGATTCACAGCCACAACATCTGACAACAAAGACATTTCACAGTCAAATCTTCTTTGTCTTCATGGAGAAATGATGTGGTCTGCAGTCAGTGAGCAGGTGTTACTTGTTTCATTGCTTTGTGCTAAGCACCTGTACTGTACTGGATGTGCATGTAATTACACCCACTCACCAGGATAACTTGCAGAAGTAATTGCATGTGACATCCCTGCAGCAAGAGTGTCAGGTCTGTGAGGATGGACACAGCAGCATTCCCATGAAACTGGTGAGAGGCATCGACGGATTGTGAGACAATTGTCCTCCCTGATGTTGAAGACGTTTTCACCTATTTTTAGATGGTGCTGAGTTTTGTTCCAGGAATATTTTAGAAGTGCAGACCTGACCCCTGACCCCTGGGCCTGTACCTGTAGGCCAGTTCAGTGATCCAGCCATGATGAGAGGGTGAGATGAGTCCCACCTCAAACACTGTGAGCATTTATGAGAACATTTTGCTCTAGTACAAGTTTGAGTACAGTTTCTAACAACTAGCAGTAATAAGACACAGCTCTGCAACTAAACTCTAACTTCTTTTATGACAAGAAATCCCGGGATTCCTAGAAAAGACTGAAACATCTTTCTAATGACGCGACTGAGTTCAGTTTTCACAAAACCATGATTCACTGAAACACGTAATTTCATCACTCACCTGACTCACACACGCACCACAGTGCACTGATTTCAGACTATTCTTTGCACAAACATGAGGAAAGGAGGAATTTATTAGAGACAATGAGCAGCTGTACAAGCGTGCGTGAGACGCAGCTGGACTGCAGCCACTGTTGCCAATGCAGTGACAAGCCCCGCCCACTGAGTGCCACAGGAGGAAGTTGGGGTCTTATTTAAAAACACTACAAAGACACACAAGAGTATCACAAAGAGACTCCAAACCACTACAGAGATGCAAAATTGCCACCCAGGGACGCAAAACCACCGCAAACAGGATGTGACCACAGAGGCGTAACATACACAACCAGTGGTATCAGATCATTTTCTCCATTAAACACTTGAAGTCCGTTTGATTCAAACTGAAGCTGAGTCGAACTCTCCAGCAGCACAGAGAGCAAACACAGCACATCACAGTAACTGATAGAAAGAAACGAATGAAACGTGACCGCTGCGGTCCGCGAGCCTCCAGCTGAGAAACTGTCAACTGAGCAGGAAAGAAAGCAAAGAAAAAGTGTTTGAAAACGGGTCATTTCACTAAAACGGGACGCGGTGGAAGCGTCATCATCATTATCATCATCATCAGTCACACACACCCCCCACCACCACCACAACACACACACACACACACACACACACACACACACACCATCAATACGCGCTGATCAGTGACGTCAGCGGGGCTTTATAAGAGCAGGTGTACCGGGACCGGACAGAAGATCCCGGAGGACCCTCCTACAGACGCCGACAGACAGACAGACAGACAGACAGACAGACAGGTGATGAAGATGGTCTCCTCCCCGCATCTCCGCTGCCTCCTCCTCCTCCTGTCCCTCACCGCCTCCATCAGCTGCTCCTCCGCCGCCCAGAGAGACTCCAAACTCCGCCTGCTGCTGCACCGGACCCCGCTGCTGGGCTCCAAACAGGTCCGACACACACACATTCCTGCAGTCGCAGCTTCTCACGTTTATTGCTGTAAATGATCGTTTTCTTTTCCAACTGCTCCTTTTCGCTCTGCGGCGCTAAATGAGATATGTAAACATGATTTTAAATACGCAAAACTGTAGATTATTCCACGAATTAATCTTTAATTTAACGCAAAATAGGCGCATGTAACAAAATCTAATTTCATGTCTATTCCATTTTATGAATGTGTCTTCTGACACCAGGAACAACGCTGGAAAAATCTGGAAAGTACTTTGGAATACAACATGTAAAATGTGACCAGTATTTATTTCAGATGTCAGAGCCAGGAGGTCGGATTCTTCCAGTCCGCCCTGGTTTCACTGGGTCTTCTCAGACAGACATGGGTCCGGTTTTACTCTGGTATGAAACTGGGCGCTCCGGTAACGTTTACTGGTTTATGTTAAAAGGTTTCATTATTCACATCATCGCTGATCCGTTTTCATTGTTTAATCCACTGATGGGTCAAGCTTTAGATGACCCCTTGTCTCGAGTATTTTATCTAATTTCATTTTATTGATCCTGGTTGAAGAAGTACTTTTACCTAAGAAAAAGTAGAAATACTCTGTTACAAGTAAAAATTAAAAAGTACGGAGTACCAGCATCCAAATCTACTTGAAGTACCAGTAGTACCAGTACTGGTCCTGCAGAACGGCCCGTGTCCCAGTAACGTCTCTGATACTGGATCATAGTGACTAATTACTGTGTCCATCACTTTAATGCTGCAGCTGGTAAAGGTGGAGCTGATGGTAACTACCTTATATACTTATACTGGGAAGTACTTTCCATCCTGCTGGGTAGCTGGTGGATTTCCTACTGGGATCAATAGAGTCTGATGGTTCTACTGGGTTTGGTTTGATTCATCTGATTCTGAGACGGAACTGACGTTATCAGGTACATGTAGTGCAGTAAAAAGTACACGGTTTGTATAGGCTACCGTACTTAAGTACACATTATAAGTACTTTGAGTGTTTTCCTCCCGCGCTGCTTCACTCTTCTCCAGGTCGATGTGACACTTCATTTACCAAACGTGACTCTGGGTTATAAAGTACCGGACAAAGACAGGAAACGAATTTGGAACCGTTTTAATAATCGGGTCGTTTTTCGTGCAGCACTTCACAGTCTGAGCTTTTTGGACCTGAAGGAATGTTTGAGTCATTTGGACAAAACAAACGGTGAAGACTCTGGGTCACGTGACGGGCTTTTTTTAAAAACAAAATCATCAATTAATTGAGAAAAATCAGTTAAATGTAAGACTAAATGCTGCAGTCAGTGATAAAAGCCCACTGTCAAACGTAAAAATAAGACTAATGACAGGGCCATTTTACTACCGAGTACTTTTACCTCAGTAATATTTCTAGTGCAGGGCTTCAAAGAACCAAGAAAGTGTTTTCAGAATGTTAACACATATAAGGAACGAAAGTAGGTACTGTACGGTTTAACAGTCGTATCCATCCATTACGGTGTCTATACCTGACGCCGGATCAATACATCAGCACTAAACAGGTAAAATATAACCCTAAGAAAAGTTCCTAAAATAATAACTAGTCTAAGAGACGCGCCAAAGAGGTACATGAAGTGTTTTGTACTCGTACTAATGTACTGCAAAACCCACATAGTTGGTTCATGTGCTTTTCATCGCAGTCCCTTCCTTCGTGGCCAACTTCAGGTTTCCGTGCGCGTCTATCACAGCCGTCATGTCCAAATCTGATGAAGGAACTCATTCTAAGTCTCATATCACTGATGCGTTCATTTAGATAAGATGTATGGTTATAAACTAGTCCCACACTGCCTCCTCCAGGATAAACCTCTAGGAGGGACTCCTTGGGTCCTGGTTTGGAGCTGACAAGTCTGTAATCTGGAAACTTCGAATGGGACTTGTTTCATTTTCCATCTATAAAAACAAGCGCACCACGTGTTTCCTGTGTGAGAAGATAAAAGTCGAACTAAAGTCAAAATTAACAAAGTAAAATTCTTCTAATTTAACCTTTATCCAGCAGAACCTGTGTTTTATGCAATAAAACAAACACAAACTTCAGGCAGATCAGAAGAAATTAAATAAAAATACGACAAGTGAAAACCCTCCTAAGACACTGACAGAAGGACTGAGCCTGACACTGTGCTGCAGATGCTCCATTCAAACCTTAAACACAAACAGAGTAGTTGACAGTTTTAAGGTGGCGTCTTACCCTCGTGCTTCCTGACAACCAGACAGCCCTATGTCTGTGCACAAGCCTGAAAATAATGCCCACAGCACAAACTGTTTCCGTTCTCCAGCTCCATTGACCAGTCAGGACACTGGCCTCCATGGCGGTGAAAGCATCCTCTTGAACATAAACTTCTGTTTAAGGGCTTGTGCCTTTTGTTGTCTTGTATTTGACCCTGATCCACTTCTGCTCCAGAGAAAAATGTGCTGTGGTGTGAACATGTCCTCGTACAGGCAGGAAGTTTGCACCAGATCCACATGTTGCACACTCTTAGTCTCCAGTGTTCACGTGCCGTAGGACCTTTCAAACCATGTATAATTTGACCAGATTATGTCAAGAGACCAAAGCACACATAAAACAGTGGCCCCCAGGACAAAGCTGCCCTCAGGTGGGACAGTGCATTGTTACAGGTTCAAGGCTCTAAATCGTTTTAGGAGTTTTATTTATTGTCACCTACTTGTGCCACATCATCAGTGGATGAGGCAAAGAACGGCAGCATCATCCAGGGCCTAAACCCCCCTGTCTGTTGCCCTCTAGTGGCCAGGTGTGTTACAGCTGTCATCTGTCTGTAACAGGAGCTGGGGAGTCGTGCGGGGGGCTCCCTGTCAACACATTCCACCGTAGGTGCTTTAATAAATTAGACATATTGTCAACAGTTGAATGCATTTTGCTGCCCACACAGCCTACAACAGACAGTAATGTTCTTAGATTTTTTTTAGATAAACTCAGAGTAATGTCAGGACTGGTGATGTTCTTCTCACCCCCTCCGTCCTTTAGCTTTCTGACACGTCATAAGGTTCCTGTCTTACCATGTGTCTCCTATTGTTTAGTTAACACTGAGATTCCCACTTCCATTTTCAAAAGCCTTGGCCACGACAGCTGCAGCATCAACAACACAGTTACTCTATAGGTCACTCACGATAAAACGGTGGTGATTCCGTGATTTAGGACAACAACATGGTTAAAACTCTCACTAGAGACATCCCTGTATTTGCGCTTTGAGGTCCATCCAGGCAGCAGGAGCAGCTGAGTAGGAAACAGCTCTCTGGGATCTGATGGCAGGGCTCAGACAGACATCATAAAACACGCAGATCAGCTGGTAACAGCCTGAGAGAGGAAACAGCTTCAGTCGCTCAACCTTTGGATGTCCCCCCCCCCCACACTGTGGATGTGTCAGTGCTTCTAGAGGCTGATGAAGACACAACTGCATCATCCGCATAAAAATGAACATTTCTGTTTGTAGCCTTGTGGCTGACGTCGTTAATATAAATAGCTGCTGTTTATGTATTTCAGGCTCTATCTCACCAGTTTTAGTCGTTAACATTGTCTTCACTCACTTGTTTTGTTTCTTTCAGGACACGTCTGTGGTGTTTGTCTGTAACAACCCCGTCCTTGTGCTTTCAGGACACGTCTCGGGCCTCGCTGGCAGAGCTGCTGCTGTCCGACCTCCTGCAGATGGAGAATGAGGCTCTGGACGATGACAGCTTCCCTCTGGCTGAAGGAGAACCCGAAGATGTCCGAGTGGACCTGGAACGAGCTGCTGCAGGCAGCGGGCCGCTGCTTGCCC